TCATATATGAGATACAATCTCATATTATTAACATTTTGCAGGAGAGGCAAAATGTTGATCAGTGACATGGCTGATGTTACCCACTAAGTCGGTGAGTGTCCTATCTAGGATTCAGTCTCCAAAACCCACGCTCTGTCCTAGGGAGGGAAAAATTCAGGACGGTGTTGATGTTAATGCAGGCCACAGATTGAAACTGCTCCTCAGGCTTTCTGACACTGTAAGTCCCGAGTGACACACTGGTTAAGTGCTCCATTACTAACAACATCTCCTAAAAGGCCACAGCCAGGGAGCCGTGTGGAGCAGGTGTACTCTGCACACATGACATCGCCGTGAGTTGGCATGGACTTGCCCAGCCACTGTTTTGGGTCATTTTGTTTTGGGCATACAGTCAGTGTGAGAGTCGAACTATTCCACAACGTTTACAAGGCTCTGACTCCTGGTGTTGACTCCTGGTGTGGCTCTGTAGGATCAGCCCCACACTGTGAACCACAAGGTCAGCGGTTCAAACCCACCAGCTACACCTTGGAAACCCTATACAGGGATGCTCTAAGTCAGAACCAACTCGATGTTTTTTAACAACATTTATGTCTTTAACAACAACAACTCCTGATATGGCACTGTAGGCTCAGCCCTGCACTGTGAACCACAAGGTCAGCGGTTCAAACCCACCAGCTACACCTTGGAAACCCTATACAGGGATGCTCTAAGTCAGAACCAACTCGATGTTTTTTAACAACATTTATGTCTTTAACAACAACAACTCCTGATATGGCACTGTAGGCTCAGCCCTGCACTGTGAACCACAAGGTCAGTGGTTCAAACTCACCAGCCACTCCTCGGAAATCCTATATAGATAGGGTCGCTATGAGTCAGAACCGACTCAACAGCACTTAACAACAACAATTTTTATGTGAGCAGACTGCAATGTCTTTCTCCTGTGGAGCTGCTGGTGGATTCGAACTGCTGACCTTTCTGCTAGCAGTGGAGCACTTCACCAGTGTGCCGCCAGGGCTCCTCCTCCCAACACCTTTCTGTCCTTTCATCTGGTGAGCTTCCCTAGGCCCCCTCTTTCTGCTCTACCCTAACTATAGTTTGTTGCTCTTTGTCACAAGCCAGGCTGTTGACTCTCAGTGGGGTAGGGGCCCTTTCTGTTCACTATATTGTAAACCTACTGTTTACAAAATAGTAAACAGTACTGTTTTGTAATAGTACTTGCCCATCAAAGTTTTAGTGTTTGCTGGGTAAGCGAGACCATATTTGTCAAAATAAAAAGTTATTAAATCAAGGTTGAACAAACCACCTGAGGTTATTACCAATCCTAACCACATAAGGGAAGGTGGTGTTGGTGAGGTAAGCATTGGACTACTATGCACAAGGTTGAAGGTTCAAACCCACCAGCTACCCAGCAAGACAAAGATGAGGTTGCCTGCTTCCAGATGGATTGACAGTCTGGGAAACTCTATGGAGCAGTTCTGTAAATTCTATAGTTCTGTGAGTTCTAGAGATCTGTGAGTTCTAGAGTTCTGTGACTTCTAGAGATCTGTGAGTCTAGAGATCTGTGAGTTCTAGAGTTCTGTGAGTTCTATAGTTCTGTGGTTCTAGAGATCTGTGAGTCTAGAGATCTGTGAGTTCTAGAGTTCTGTGAGTTCTAGAGTTCTGTGGTTCTAGAGATCTGTGAGTTCTAGAGATCTGTGAGTTCTGTGAGTTCTAGAGATCTGTGAGTTCTAGAGATCTGTGAGTTCTAGAGTTCTGTGAGTTCTAGAGATCTGTGAGTTCTAGAGTTCTGTGAGTTCTAGAGATCGGTGAGTTCTAGAGATCTGTGAGTTCTAGAGATCTGTGAGTTCTAGAGTTCTGTGAGTTCTAGAGTTCTGTGAGTTCTAGAGTTCTGTGTGTTCTATGAGTTATGTGATTCTGGGAAACCCTATGGAGCAGTAGCTGTGAGTGGGAATTGGCCCTATGGCAATGGAGTGGGTCCACATAAGGTAT